GCGTTATATTTCCTCGCGTTATATCGCCACGTTAGGTTGCCTCGCGCTATATCGCCATGCGCTGTATTTACTCACCGTTGTATTTGTCACGCGTTGTATTCATCACATATTGTATTTACCATGCGTTATTTCACCTCGTGTTATATCACCGCATGCTATATCGCCTCCCGTTATATTACCTTGCGTTATATAGCCACGCATTGCAATCGTCACGAGCAATAATCTTCGTAACGTAATCTCCAGCCGTTATATCGCCGCCTGTTATATCTCCACGCGTTATATTTTCCACTCGCTATATTGCCACACACTGTATTTCACGTACGTACTATTCTCTACATGCATTATCATTACTCGCTCTGTCGGCACCCACTATATAGCCGCGGGTTGTACCGTCATATGATTACGAGCTATACAGTTCGTTATATCGCCATCCGTTAAACGACCGGGCATTATATCGTCACGCGTTAAATCATCAAAGTGACTGGAGAGATTAACCGAGAAAAGTGGTACAGCATAAAAAATGTTCGAGCAAAGGTAAATTTACACTTTGCCATTTAGGCGGCAAACACCTGTACCAAGTAACCACGGGGTCCCGTGCAGTTTACAAGAACGAGGCGGTGTTAACGAGGAGTAAATCATACGTTTTGCATCGCGGGGAAACGCGAGACGGTGACATTTTACAGTCACCTTTTGTAAACGGTAATCCACGATCGCCGATGTTGCTGCACGAACTCGCCTTTATGCTTTCCTTCCCTTTGTCCCGCGGTTCCTTTTTCTTCCGCCTCATTTTCTGCCCTTCTTTCGCCTTTTTCTAGCCGAGCCGCTGACCTACAATGCGTTTTATAACAATGCGCAGCATTGAAACTGGTTTCTTTGGACGGCTGGGAAATTACGAGTTAAAACATTGGAATAATTCAAAGGGGCTCCGTAATAAAAGCGTAGAAGATAAATTTAGAGCGCCATTTTCTTGTAAATACTTTTCGTGTATAAAAAGAATGTTTATACGAAAGTCAACGCCACTAAATAACATCTTAAATCGAAAGTTTCCCGCGTTCCGCACTTACAGACTTATTTACGCGTTCCCACTTGCCAATTGTAATATACGGTTGCTCGAAGTATAAACCCGATAATGAACCGATTGTATCGTTAATAACTTATATGCTAATGTAACTCGCAGGCGCTAAAACGCAATCGATTTCTTTGTAAAGTCATTACCAAAACTATAACACCATTACAACGAAATTATGGGATTACACTAGAGACCATAAGAGTCGACTATTAAGCGTTGATCTAATGGAGCCACCAGAATGCCAAACCGCTAGACCACCTATTAAATTCTACACCCAGACTATTTGTTCGGACCATTACACTATGAAATTATTACACCGGCCGATCTAATTGTATAACCAGTAAACTTGGCTCGAAAATTGCGGAACTATTCGGCTAACACTTTTATGTTGGGAAACCAGTCGAATTTTTTAGGTGCACATGTAGTTATAAGGTGGAATTAACGATGTATGGATATATTAGAGAAAATTATTGCTATTGGGAAACGATGGGGAGGTCGCAGATTAGGTTTAGGTGCGATTTGGATGGGGAGGATTTGGTGGGGGTTTTAGGGATTTTCAAGTTTTGGAATTCTTTAATCAAGGTTTCTAGATATGAGCAAATTCACATATGAGCAAATCCACATATGAGCAAATTCATATATGAGCAAATTCATATATGAGCAAATCCACATATGAGCAAATCCACATATGAGCAAATTCACATATGACCAAATCCACATATGACCAAATCCACACATCCCCAAATCCACACATCTCCAATTCCACACATTTCCAAATCCACACATCCCCAAATCCACACATTATCAATTTCACACATTCCCAAATCCACACATCCTCAAATCCACACATCTCCAATTCCACACATTCCCAAATCCACACATCCCCAAATCCACATATCTCCAATTCCACATTCCCAAATCCACACATCCCCAAATCCATATATCCCCAAATCCACATATGCCCAAATCCACATATGCCCAAATCCACATATGACCAAATCCACATATTTCCAAATCCACATATGCCCAAATCCACATATCCCCAAATCCACATATGCCCAAATCTACATATCTCCAAATCCACACATCCCCAAATCCACATATTCTCAAATCCACATATCCTCAAATCCACATATTCTCAAATCCACATATCCCCAAATCCACATATTCCCAAATCCACATATGTGCAAATCCATATATGCCCAAATCCACATATCCCCAAATTCTCACACTCCCAAATTCTCACACCCCAAATTCTCCCACCCCATCTCCCTCACCTCCCAATTCCTCAATTCCTCAATTTCTAAAATTTCCCAATTCAATCTCCACATCTCCATCTCTCCACCTCCCCACCTTCTCTCCTCCTCTCTCTCTCTCCAAAAATCCCACTTTTCCAATTAAATTCCCCAACAAACTACAAATCCCCAAATTGAAACGAGTTACGATGATTATCCAGCTGCACGGTAGTTCACGGTACGCGATAGTTGGTCTCAAAGGGGTAGGTCCGATTTCGGCCACGGATGATCGTTGCTTTATGACAATAACCGAGATTTAGAAGGGTAGCCAGGGGACTGGCAAACAACGAACGAGATATGGCACGGCTTTTGATACATCGAGCAATAGGCGATGGGCTATGGGGTGGCTTAACCGGTACGTCAACTAGGGGAGCATTTCTGGGGCAGTTAACGATACTGCCCCAGCCTATTGTGTTGCAAATCCCTCGAAATTTTATTGCTGGTCGTCAATGCGCCTCGGACTTGTATACCTAGATATAAGATACTTGTGTAGCGGTGTGGTGGGTCTATGTGCGTTGTGAATTTAATTTCTTTCGAAAATTATTATTTATATTTGTAGTCTTTTTTTTATGTTATATGCAGTGATTTTGTAGAATTATGAACGTAGTGCAATTTTTGTAATTTAAAAATTGTATTAAATTTTTTAGATTTAATATATGGTGCAATTTTTGTAGTTTGGTAGATGTGAATGGTCTGTGTATTTTATTTTGAAAATTATTGTTTATATTTTTAATGTGGTAAGTGCATTGATTTTGTTGAATTATTAGGTGCTGTTGAGAATAGTACATTGTGCAATTTTTGTAATCTGTTAAATGTAGTGTATAGTTCAATTTTTGTGCTTTATTAAATATAAATGGTCTGTGTATTTTATTATAAAAATTATTATTTATTTAACAAATATTTCTTGAGTTTTTATTTTTATAATTTTTATCATAGATTGACATCATGTTATGAATAAGCAATTTGACTTTCCTTTTTATAATTTTTGTTTTATATTATTTATATATTATTTCTTATGTTTAATATAATTTTTAACAATAATAAATATAAAATTGCAAATTCACACAATTTTATTCTACATTTAATCTAACATTTCGAACTTGCAATTTTTTACATAATTTCTATAGTCAGTCATTTTTAGCTAAAGTCGTCCCATTTCATAATAATAAATTAAATAATAAAAGCTTGAAAATGTAGTGAACACAATAATTGATTTCCTGAACAAGAGAAAATTCCGGTGAAAGTTTCCAGAAATGACTCGGTTTGATCGAAGCATGAAACAATCGGGTAATCTATTAATCCAGAGGGTAGGTACCGTGGGTCGAAGTGACCAGTTAACGGGATGGGCCATAGTAAAATTTCTCGGTTCTAATTGGTTACCAAGTGAGTATGGTTTTTCCTATAAAAGGACCATGCAACTTGGAACAGAGGTTCAGTTCACACTTACCTCGGTACGATTCGCAACGAAAGAGAACGCTCGGAGTAGAAATCGTGTCACCTTGGGCACTGGCGTCCATCGAATACTCAGGTTAGAGCGTTTAGTATTTTTTGACAACTATTAACTATACATTACGGTTCTCCTCTTTAATTATTTATTACTTTGAGTGCAGTGGGATACAATTTTAGACGACGAGGAATTTTGGACTTTAGAGTTAGATTTTGGAGTTAGACTTTAGAGGTAGAGTTTAAATTAATTTAGAGATAACTATTGATTTTGTATTGGGATTTTAGATTTTATGTTGGTTTTGATATTAGGGTTTCTTGTAAAATATTGTTTGGAGTTGGGGAAATGGGGGAATTGGGACGTTGAGGGAGATGGGGTTTGAGAATTTGGGGATATGAGAATTTAGGCATGTGTGCATTTGGGCATATGTGGATTTGGGGATATGTGGATTTGGGGATATGTGGATTTGGGCATATGTGGATTTGGGAATATGTAGATTTGGACATATGTGGATTTGGGAATATGTGGATTTGGGGATATGTGGATTTGGGAATATGTGGATTTGGGCATATGTGGATTTGGGAATATGTGGATTTGGGCATATGTGGATTTGGGAATATGTGGATTTGGGCATATGTGGATTTGGGAATATGTGGATTTGAAGATATGTGGATTTAGGCATATGTGGATTTGGGCATATGTGGATTTGGGCATACGTAGATTTGGGAATATGTAGATTTGGGAATATGTGGATTTGGGCATATGTGGATTTGGGAATATGTGGATTTGGGCATATGTGGATTTGGGAATATGTGGATTTGGGCATATGTGGATTTGGGAATATGTGGATTTGGGGATATGTGGATTTGGGGATGTGTGGATTTGGAAACGTGTGGATTTGGGGATGTGTGGATTTAGGAATGTGTGGAATTGGAGATGTGTGGATTTGGGGATGTGTGGATTTGGAAATGTGTGGATTTGGAAATGTGAGAATTTGGGCATATGTGGATCTGGTAACACGTGAATTTGGAAATATCAAAATTTGGGAATATGTGGATTTGATACCATGTGAATTTGGAGATATGAAAATTTAGGAATACGTAGATTTGGGAATATGAAAATTTGGTGATATGAGAATTTGGGAATATAAGAATTTTTCTAGCATCACTAACGAAAAAAATAATTGTTACAGATAGCGCGCAACCAAAATGTCGGTGCTTCTGGAAGCAAGGTCTTACAGACCTTTCAAGTCTTCGGAGGAGTATTTGGTCGCGATGAAAGAGGACCTGGCCGAATGGTTGAACGCTTTGTATCCGGAGTTGAGAATCAACGTTGACAATTTTATGGACAGACTGGACACCGGCGTCGCTCTTTGCAAGGTAAGTTTTTGAACCATTCATTATTTATATATTACATTATCCTTTAACCTCTGTTGCATTCTGTTGCACATATATTATGAAAGTATCTTATGAAAGTACACTATGAAATTTTTGTATATGATACATACTTTGTTATATCTTACATATGATGTTTTTTTTATATGCATATATAATTTGTTTCCATATTGCATATTTTAATTATACAGAGTTCTATATTTTATTATTTTGTTCTACATATTTATATTTTTTATTCTATATTTTACATTAAATTACATTTGCATCATATTATTCTACATTACACTTCGTTCTACATATACAAGTTTCATAATTAACAAAGCTATCCAAACTTATCTTCACTAATTACAATACTTATCATTGCAATATTCTTCAGTAGTCACTATATTTATCTTCAATAATTACAATATTTATCTTCAACAACTGCAGTACTTATCTTCAATAATTACACTTTTTGCGTGTCTTTAAAATGGTACAACCTACATGCATAATTTCTTTCGTCCTCTTATCAAATGTTGCATTATTACTATTCTATTATAGAACTACAATTTTAAAAGCAAATTTTTTAAACAGACTGTGTTTGTTATCTTACCATAATCATTTGATAAAATCATTTGGAAAATTCGTTTAATAAGTTGAATTAATAAATTGATTTATTAAATTCATCAGATAAAATTCATTTAATAAGTTCGTCAGATAAAATTCATTTAATAAGTTCGTTTGATAAATTCGTTTATTAAATTCGTTTGATAAAATTGATTTAGTAAGTTCATTTAATAAGTTCGTTTCATAAGTTCATTTGATAAATTCGTTTAATAAATTCATTTGATAAATTCGTTCATTAAATTCCTTTGATAAAATTGATTTAGTAAGTCCATTTAATAAATTTGTTTCACAACTACACTTAATAATACACTTAATTTAATAAGTTCATTTAATAAGTACATTAACCAAGTTCCTTCAACAAGTTCATTAAACAAAACCACCAAAGAAAGCAACAGAAGTTAAATTCCAAAAATCCCACCTCCACCACAAACATCCCAAAAGGTCAAAGAAGTTCGAAATAGCTTCCCAGAAGCTTCTTGAAAATTCCGTGCGTGAGTAACGTTAAAGCGACGCGTGTATGTACACAATCGAGCGTTAAATGGAAACGCATAAAAGCTATGGGACACGTAGTGTAGTTGCGGCTCGTGAAACAGAGGAAGAAGGATGCGTGTGACGTCCACCGGAAGCTCTTGCTTCTACGCCGGTTGAATTACGAATTAAGTCGGCGCGTGTTGGAAACCATCAAGAAAATGTGCTTCGATCGATCTTAACTCTTGCTCCCTCTTTTTTTTTTTACTTTGCGTGCAAAGTGTTCATAGCTCGTTTGTTACTTGCTAATTTATTGCATTAGAGTGAAGGTTTAAATTGCAATTTTTTTATTTTGGTGAGCTTAGGGAGTAGCACTTTATTTGTTTGAGGTTCATACAAGTTTCATTACTTCATTATTTAGTTACAATTGATTACAGGAATATACAGTTTAAATTAAATTTAAAATTTTCGGTGTAGGATTGCTCCTCGAGTACTAGCGAGAAAGTCAAACTTATGCGCCGTCTAGTGATGAGCGTACGAACCACAACTTTAATCTCAAATAATAATAGTTATGTTTTGTAAGGGATAAATACTGTTTTCAAAATATTGTTTAAATACATGTCGCTATTTTTCCTTAAAAAAAAAGTTACGTTACATTTCCAACATACTGTGTATAGTATTTTTGAGACAAGCCCCGCCCCGAGGTGACCACCATAAAGCGAGGGAACTTACGCCGGCGTCCAAGCACGCTATTATAGACACGACGGCCGGTTATTTTCGCCCGATGCAAATTCCCTTTATCTCGATTGTAAATTCCGTGAAATTTATCGCGGAATTCCGATACCGTTCCAGGCTATTTATGTAACAACGAACACAATCATCAACGACGCCCGAAACGGTTAATAATAATCACGGTATCAGCACGGCTGTCGAACCATTTTTCCTGTTTTCTCCCGCTAATGATCACTATACCACCTTGTCCACTGTTTCTTTAGAGCGACATTCTCGCGCCGCTGTTCAAACCCGTTTTCCGCGCGCGGTTTTGCGCCACGATGCGATGTGGAGATTATTTCAGACGCGAATTAATTTAATTGGACTACGACCGTGGAAAAAACCCATTCACACTCGGCCATGTGTGCTGTAATTGCTACGGAGATTGCTTGTTAATTCTTGAATGTTCGGGTAATTCTAAGTGCTCGTTTATGGTATCGTTAAGTTTCTTTGTGTCGGCTATTAGTGGCTAGGTTTCAACACTTCTGTGTTATTACATTTGTAGGGTTTAGGAAATTCTGGTTCTTCAGATTTCTGAGTTCTTTATGAGGTCTTGCATATCCATATACTAAAATTTATTAGACTCATGTGGACAAATTTTCAAATTTTCTGAATTTAACAATTTAACAATTTAACGATTTAACGATTTAACGATTTAACGATTTAACGATTTAACGATTTAACGATTTAACGATTTAACGATTTAACGATTTAACGATTTAACGATTTAACGATTTAACGATTTAACGATTTAACGATTTAACGATTTAACGATTTAACGATTTAACGATTTAACGATTTAACGATTTAACGATTTAACGATTTAACGATTTAACGATTTAACGATTTAACGATTTAACGGTTTAACTGTTTAACTGTTTAACTGTTTAACTATTTAACTATTTAACTATTTAACTATTTAACTATTTAACTATTTAACAATTCAACAATTCAACAATTTAACAATTTAACAATTGAATTTAACAATTTAATAAATTTAACAATTTTTTAAATGTTAATCATTGAAGTGCTAAACTCTAATTTTCCTAAATTTGTAAATCATAAATTTCTCAAACTTGCGACCCCTAATTTCTCAAACTTGCAATCCCTAATTTCTCATACTTGCAACCCCTTAATTTCTCAAACTTGCAATCCCAAAATTCCCAAACTTGCAACCCTTTAATTTCTCAAACTTGCAACCCTCAAATTTCTCAAACTTGCAATCCCCAAAATTCCCAAACTTGCAATCCCTAATTTCTCAAACTTGCAACCCCCAAAATTCCCAAACTTGTAACTCCTAATTTCTCAAATTTGCAACCCTCTAATTTCTCAAACTCGCAACCCCCAAAATTCTCAAACTTGCAACCCTTTAATTTCTCAAACTTGTAAACCTCTACTTTCTCAAACTTGCAACCCCCAAAATCCCCTTCCTTGCAATCCCTAATTTCTCAAATTTCCAACCCCCAAAATCCCCTTCCTTGCAATCCCTAATTTCTCAAACTTGCAACTCCCAAAATCCCTTTCCTTGCAATCCCTAATTTCTCAAACTCCCAAATCACCCTCCAAATCACCAAATAAATCAATCCTCAAGCAAACTGTGATCAGCGCACAAACAGACTCTCAACATATAAATAAATTGAGTACCCACATCCGGATGCCCGCATGTCGACCAGCAACAGGAATCCGACCCTGGAGCCCTGCAGGGTGCTGCACAAAAGTGTCTGAAAGCCGAGCAACTCGTTATCGACGACCTTGGTACACATGGAAGTCGATACGAACGTCTCAGGGTCGATATCGCGTGATACAGACGATACCGGATCGGTAGGACTCCATATTTTGAATTTACGAGATCCAGTATAGTTAATTCTGGATTCGTATTGCTTTGATTCTGTATTCATGACACTAGATAACGACTATATTCAATTTATTCTGCTGATACCAGCTATTCTCGGTACATGGGACTTGTATATTTTTATTTATATAGAATTTATTCTGGTAGACTGCAAGGTTCACGATCGTGGGATTCAAATTTGGAGTCAACATGTGGTATCTATATTCATAATTACAGAGATTAGGTGGTTGAATGTTTGGACATTTTTGTTACGTCAGGGAATTGACTTCATGTGGGATTCAATAGAGTCATTTGTTACTTTTTAATAGGTCTGATCTTGTTTAGGTTCAGAAAATATCTATTTCAATTATATATAGGTCCTAGTTGTTCACAAACTTCATTAGGATCTAGCTGGCCATATGAAGTTCTTTAAATTCAAGATGTTCATAGGTCCATTAGATTCTAGGTACTCATAGGGAGTCTTAGATTTAACATTGTTCCTATTCAGCTTAGTTAGCTTGAAATTGTTTAGATCTACCTACAAGATCCAAAGTCACATGTGAGTACAGTGGATCTAGATGTCCACATGTGTAGACCTGTATGTGTATGTCGGTCCAAACATATTTCCATTCGCATCTGATGAGTGTGAACTTGTTTAGAACTAGTCAGATTAATCCACAACCACCTGTATTAGGTACAGTGACTCAATGTCCACATGTGGTCCAGATACCCAATGGTTACTACCCCTAACCTAAAGCATTCGTACAGAATACCTCTAACCCAAAGTGTCCACTTAACATAAATTGCAAGTCTGTCCAAATCACCAGAGCTAGGTATTGCGTGAAGGTACCCCTAACGTTCATACCCCTAATCCAAAGTGTCCATCTATCATAAAAGTGTCCACCTAGCATAAAAGTGTCCAAAGCATCGAAACCGTCGAAATCCCCAAAGCAATCTTGCGAAGTCGATCCAAATCACCTGTCGATGTGAACGTGTCCAAAAGGATCTTTACCGAGTTCAACGGACCCGGAATCGCCCATAGCCGATTCGTGATCGTTCTGGGGTCCCACGAGTCCGGTGTCGCTCACGGCAGCTAATTACCAGCCAGCAACGTATCGAGCTAGCTGCTAATCGGAGCGGACAATCAAAGTGTCCGATGGCTGTCCGACACGATCCCGGTGCTGTCGCACTGTCAAACTAAATTCTGAAATCCAAAGCGTCGTACTCTCGATGGTGTGTGACGAAAGAACACGCGCCTGCCAGCTCCGTATCTCGCGTGTTCGATCGTTGCGCGCCACGCCGTTCGACC